GAATGTCAAGTCACCTGTTCACAATCCCATGACTGTCTGGGTATCTTACTTCAGAATCCAAGTTCTTAAGCACTAAATGAAACATATAAGTGATCCTGTCCAGATCCTCTGTGAGGAAGCTCCTGGCTCCTGGCTCCAGATGGGCCCAGCTCTGGCTGTTGCAGTCATCTGGAGAGTGAACCTTATCAAATTTGAGATTCTGAGAAGAGATGATACTGTATCATCCTGGGACCTGCATTGTGGTGCAGCGGGTTAAACCATTTCATGCAACACGGGCATCCCATACTGGAGCACTGGTTCAAAGGCCCAGCAGCTCCACTTCCAATTCAGCTCCCTGGTAATGCACCTGGGAAAGCAGCAGAAGATGATCCAAGTACTTGGTACCCTGCCACCCACATGGGAGAGCTGGATGCAGCTCCTGGCTTTGGCCTGGCTCATCCTTGGCCATTGCAGCCATTTGGGGAGTGAGCTAGTAGGTGGAAGATTTCTTTTTCTCTCTGTCTCTGTAACTCTGCCTTTCAAGTAAATTGAATAAATCTTTAAAAAGAAGAAGAAGAAAATTCCCTAAGCTGTAACTTAGTCATTTCCATGATATATTTGGAAGTCTCACAAGTGTGTGTGTGTGTGTGTGTGTGCAGGGGGAGGGTTGCCATCATTTCTTTTTTGTTGTTTTTAAATTTAGGAAAAGGCTTCAAAGTTAAGTAGGACATACAATATTTTCTTTCATGTGATTAAAAGTCCTGTAACTTTAGAGCCTTTTGGTTTTTCTGGGAATTGGGTTCTTGTTTTTCCCTTGAAGACTGTGACAAGAAGAAAGTCTGGTTCTCACAGTATACTTACTCCTTCGATAGAGCTTCTGTAAGTGGAGGCCAGATGGTGGTTCAATAAAGTACCCTCTTCACTTTCCTACCCAGGCTGTGAGTTCCTCTTTGTACCCTAGGGCCCAGTGCAAGGATTAATGCATGCTAGTCAATACACCTTTATAACACACAGTCCTGTGAGCACTGGGGTGGCACTCCAGAGGAGTAACTGAGTATGGAAAGGCATGAATTAAATGTGACTGCAACGAAGTTATAGTAGTGAATGATGAGGCAGAGGACTGAAAATGAAAAGGACCTGAGCTTGCTTTTACAAGCCCTTGATGCTAGTGAGCATTGTTTTTCTTTTCCCACATTTTTTTGTCTTTCACATAGACATCTGTAGTTGCATGCTTTGAGAACTCAGCAAGTGCTATTTCAATATTTATTGCTTCTCGAGCCGGCGCCACGGCTCACTAGGCTAATCCTCCGCCTTGGGGCACCGGCACACCGGGTTCTAGTCCTGGTTGGGGTGCCGGATTCTGTCCCGGCTGTCCCGGTTGCCCCTCTTCCAGGCCAGCTCTCTGCTGTGGCCAGGGAGTGCAGTGGAGGATGTCCCAAGTGCTTGGGCCCTGCACCCCATGGGAGACCAGGAGAAGCATCTGGCTCCTGCCATCGGATCAGTGCGGTGCGCCAGCCGCAGCGTGCCAGCCGCGGCAGCCATTGGAGGGTGAACCAACGGCAAAGGAAGACCTTTCTCTCTGTCTCTCTCTCACTGTCCACTCTGCCTGTCGAAAAAATTAAAAAATAATAATAATAAAATATTTATTGCTTCTCTTTCTCTTGAATTGCATTCTGTCAGCAATTTACTCTACTACTGACTGCTATAGATGGTACCACCAAGAGCATGTTTCTGGGGCCAGTGCTATAGCATAGTAGGTTAAGCTGCTGCCTGCAATGCCGGCATCCTATATGGGCACCAGTGTGATTCCCGGCTGCTCCTCTTCCAATTCAGCTCCCTGCTAATCTGCCTGGGAAAGCAGTGGGAGATGGCCCAAGTCTTTGGGCCCCTGCACCCACATGGGAGACCCCAATGAAGCTCCTGGCTTCAGCATGACCCAGCCCCAATCATTAGAGCCATTTGGGGAGTGAACCAATGGATGAAAGATCTCTCTCTCTCTCTCTGACTCTCTCGGTCTCATTGTATCTCTGACTTTCAAATAAATAAATGTAAAAGAAAAAGAACATGTTTGTTCCATCAGAACATATTTTGAACTAAAACTATTAATGACGTTAACAAGTCCTTGGTGAAGTTCCAGTCAACTTTCAATGCTTCCCAAGGGCACTAAACTTGTTGTGTAAATGGAAAATAGGAAATTAACTTTTGGAGGTAAAATTTTTTATCTGATTTGAAAAAAGGAATTTATTCCTAAAAGGCACAAATAAGAAATGGGGCCTCAGGTGGAAAAACTCTTCCTCTCTTGAGAGTGAATTCAATTTCTTGATTGAAATCTTCATAGTATGATACGTTTGGCATTTGTACTCTTTGTCCCTATCATGAAGCCATCAAGCAGCCTCATACTTACGGGGTGTGTTCCTAAGAGTGATTCCAGACTGAGTTTTGTAGTGAAGAGAAGATGATGGCAGTGACTGAAGTGAAACTTTTATGTGTGTTCTTACTTTGACCTCTAGATTGCTCACTCCTTAGAGGAGAAGTACAACTGCATCCTCCATTCACAGAATATAATAATGAAGACATTTCTTATGTACTTCAGCATGTGTTTTTTTCTCACTTAAAACATTTTACATCTGTTAACAACTACTTAGATCTCTGTTTCTAATATCAGGATAGTTGAAAACACTAAGCACAGAACACATTTATGACACAAGTGTTAACAAGGATTTTTTTTTTTTAAGTTCTGTTCGCTAATGGAACCCATAGAAGCAATATTTCACAATGTTTACTGCACCCCCTGCTGGCTATATTGTGGTATTTCCTAAATAAAGATAGCATATTTAGATACTGTTTAGTGGTTAAGTATACACATTTTTCTTTGGAGTTGTTTTCGTTTAGCAATAATTTGAATTTCATCTGATATATAATGAAGTGTCAATCATAACTAAAGGCAGTTTTCTTTATGATTTGTCAATTGATGTTTGAGTAGTGCTATCTTTCCAGGCAGTATAATAATGTATTTATTGGAAAAAATATTTGCCATAATCTTTTTATTATATTTCAGATGCCATTCAATAAAAGAGCATATCTCCAAAATGTCCCTGTTCTATTGTAAATGGTTCTACCATGAAGCTCCTTGTACATAAATCCGGTGCATGTTTATTGTAAGCTAAATACAATCCTTACAATATTCATAAAGCTTTTTTTTTTTTTTTTAGATTTTATTTGACAGGCAGAGAGAGAGAGAGAGAGAGATCTTTCATCTGCTAGTTCACTTTCCAAATGGCCACAACAGCCAGGGTTGGTCTAGGCCTGGGACTCCATCTGGGTCTCCCATGGGGGTGGCATTCTGATAAGGGATTCCAGTGTTACAGTTGGTGGCTTAACCCAATGTGCCGCAACACTGACCCAATCATGAAGCTTTAAGACAAGCGCTTTGGATCCTGGAAAAGATTCTCCAGGGAAGGGCTGACAGTAGCATAGCTCTAAGAGTTATACCAGCCACATGGGAAGAGGTCTTGATTGCTTGGCTCCTCAGTGTGTTTCAAGCTATGATCTCAAGTCAGTGTGCTAGTGACCCCTCCAAAGGCTTCTGTGTTTGTAGGAAAATAATTGTTTAAAGAGGGCATGGTTCTCTAGTTAGTGCTGTGTGACGTGATAGCCATTGGATCTCAGTATCTCAAGAACAGAATTCAGAGATGCTCAGCTAAATGAACGAAGATTATTTCCTAAATGGCAAGTTAAGCTAAGTAACAAAACACCTAGGGTAACTATTTATAAATACTGTGGAAATTTTAAATAGAATTCTGTCCTCATTGAAAAATAAATTCATCTTTAAATGAAACCATGTATTTCTATTGTGTGTATAACCTTCATTTAGTGTGTTAACAAATATTTATTCGCTTTACACACAGTGTTGTCATAGTGCTCTGTTTTCTCTATTATCACACTGTATTGTAATTGATTTGGGGTGCTCAGATCAATGTCCGTTGTATGTATGTACGTACAGGACTGAGGGTAGTATCCTAGTGAATCCCCATAGGGCCTTTTAATGTCCTTTGAATTTCTGCAATAATGGCTCGTTTCTGTGTGTATATGTTGTTGGGTGTGTTTTTGGCTGGTCTCTCACACACACATTAATGTTTTGAAATTGCTAACTTATTTTATTTTCTAATAAAACCTTATTCATCCAAATAAATCTAATATACTGAATCAGTAGAAAGTCTTAATCATAGGGTGTTTTAAAATAACTGTAGTTTATTAGTCACACCCTTATTATAAAACAGTCTTAAAGTTAATGATTGACTTTTTAAAGTTAAAGTTATGTGGCTCTGAGTTTTTGTTGTCTTTGAACAATGAAAAAGTACAGTCTATTAGTACAAACAATATTTAATATTACTATGATGATTAGTACATGTGTCTGTGTGAGTAAATGATGTTAAAATGTCTCATGAATTTATTTTCATAGCGTTTCCGTCTTTAGTAATTGTAATTAAATTTCTTGTCACTCCTCTTCTGGAAGGAAAAAGCACTCTAGTGAATTATCAAAAATTGTAAATTAGCATAAACCCTAATTAGAGTCAGGCTCTTTTGATATTGTACTCTAGAGCTTAAATTTAGCTTGTCATGTATGACATTATTGGAGATGTATTTTAGAGGAGCAGAAAGTAAAGTTTTATTTTTATCTATAGCTTTTACCTATAACTTAAAAAGTAAATTCATAGAATCTAGTTGGAGACCTTTAAATAATGACAGAAATTGTGAACTAACTGATTTTGGCTTAAACCTTCATTTTCTAAATGAGGAAACTCAGACATGGAGAGATTAGGTTAAACTTTCCAAAGTCCTGGTGTCTGAGCCACATTTTCTGATTAACTACTCAAGAGTTTTTCCATGTGGCTTCCCATGTGAAGGATAGAGAATAAAATTATCTTATCAAATAGCCAGGAAGGGTGTTTCACTGAATTAATTAGTTCATAGTGTCATTGAACTTATGTATAACATTTTCATATTTCTCTTCGTTGCAGAATGCAAAGTATGGCGAAATCCACTAAATTTATTTAGGGGTGCTGAATATAATCGGTAAGGATTTTGACAGCTTGGGAAACAAATGGATCTGGTTCAGAGAGCAAAGGCAACAGCAAATGTTGGTTCACTTAGGGGTCACATAACAGCCTATTTAGTGCTTCCGTATTTTGATGCTATCCCCAACTGTTTTGATTATTCTATTTTATAAACATTTTAGCATAGGAATTGGGATAATGTGCAAAAGTGTATAGTTTTTAGAATTTTTCTATATAATATTTTGTATATATTATATAATTAAAATTTTGTGATGCTTACTTGAAGCCTGGCTATCAAGATGACAGAGAAATTATGTCGGAATTTTAATTTAGTAAAGTTATCAGATAATTTAGAATATTGTAATTTTTTTAGGAAAAATCTATTCATAATGCTAATTAGGAAAAGTTTTCATTAGCAAGGTCTAATAAAACTTTAAGACAAAAATATAGGGGAAAACCTTTACTTCTTTCTTCCTGATGTGACTCCTAAAGGGAGAATAGGGTGATTTTTTGAAAGCTTTTTTTACAATTTATTAGCAAAATTATTTTAGTATTTAGCTAATCATTTATGTTTCAACTTCTCTGCAACTTAATATTTTATAAGAGTTGCTTTCCTCTCTCAAAAGTCCCCCCATTTATTTTCCCTTTACAGATATACGTGGGTGACAGGACGAGAACCTCTCACCTACTATGACATGAATCTTTCTGCCCAGGACCACCAGACATTCTTTACCTGTGACTCGGACCATCTACGTCCTGCGGATGCAAGTATGGAAAATCCCTCTGATAATTGCTGGGTGGGAAGATTTTTTTTGCTTTAAGTATCAAGATTTCTGCATTTAGAATATCTATTCTTTAAAAATCCCAATAATTAAAATATTGTTGATTGGTTAGTAGAACTCGAATTCTGACACTTAAATAAAGCTTTATCACATTGAAGTATCAATGTACAAATGAATTCCTTTGTTATAATTGAAAACATGATTTTAAAGAATATATCAAAGATTCACATATTTTGAAGAAGTATTGTATATGAAGCTAATTAAATTCATAGTTGGAAAGAAAGACTTTATATTGCTGATGTTCTAATTAAAAATTGGGATTCACTGAATCCAAATGAATAATGAATATATTTTAGTGAATTACGTGTTAGTGATTTATATGCCTGCTTATAAGTTCATTAGACTCCAGTGGGGGCATGACCTTGGCTATTGGAATTCTTATGTATTTTCCTTTTTAGAGAAAGATTTGGTTAGCAGGTATTTCACACTAGTTGGGTTACAAATAATCCTAGTGATTATTTCTTATATTATTAAACTTATGCAAAGTAAATAGGTGGAAAAATCTTTAAAAAGGGATATGTACTTATTTTTAAGAAATTGGGTTGGGAAATACAAGTTTATTTTACAAAAAAGGATACTGTTACTCTTTTTAATGGTATACTTGGCCATAATGAAATAGCACTGTATAATAAATATTCCCAAGATTGAACTTCCCACAATGTACTCATATTCACAATATGCTCTCGTGTATGAAAACTCAGTTTGCAGGCAAATTGTAGGAACACATACACATGTTAAGCAAAAGGCTACTACATTTTTAGTGACCCAATTCATATAATTCCTAAAATGGTTTAAAAGTGTTCTAATATCCACAGCCTGAAATAAGTGCTCAAGAAAATGACCAATAGAAGTTATGTTATACCTAAGTAGAATAAAGAGATAAGTTGTGATATAATCTCAAAATATGTAAAATAATAGGTGTTCTCTAACACAGATGACCTCAATGTACCCCAAGAAATATAACACAATCTCTGTTAGAGTGCCTTTTCCTAATTTCTTTAGTCCATTAGATTTACATCTATTGTTTCATGAGCACAAAGAACGTTTGCTAGTGGAAACGGAACAGTGCAATAGACAGAATGTATTTGGGCGATGTTTTCAGGTTTGGGCTGACCATCTTGGTAATGAAATACTCTTTTGTAACTCAAGCTGAAAGCCATTAATTTAACTGTTGTTGCATGTTGAGTCTTCTTCATTATGTGTACTGATTGACTTGCTTTTCTCCTTCTCTCTCTTTTTAAAAATAGTAATGCAGAAAGCCTGGAGAGAGAGAAACCCTCAAGCTAGGATTTCTGCAGCACATGAAGCCTTGGAGATAAATGAGTAAGTCAGGGTAAATCTTGTTGTTGAAAAAGATACATTATCCTTTGCTGAATATATTGTTTCCATTGATGGGATGCTTATAATAAGGATTATGGGTGATGTTGCTTTTTTTGTTGTTGTTGGAGTGAAGGACAGCCATGTGGAGGTGATTTTAGTCATTTTAGAAAGCAATTCATTGACTTTGTTATGATGCTAAGTTAAATCCTTCAAGAGCTATTCTAGGGATATTGTGAGGACATAAATACAATTTTTCATGTACCTAAAACATTCGATGGGGAAATTTTTCCAAATACAGAATACTCATCTTTCACATTTTCCAAGCAGAACTTCTGCTGTTAGAGGGAATATAATAAAGACTTAAGGTGAAAAATAACATTAAAAAAATTTTTTTAAGACCAAGACAAAGATAAGAAGAAATGCTGTGCTTAGTATTGTAAAACATTCTGTGGGTTACCAACAAAGGCTGGGAAATCTTTTCTGGAGATCTCAGAAAATGAGAAATTCTTGAGGTTGAAGTCATAAAAATTCAGGGTTGGCAGAGACCTTAAAGGTCATTTAGCTCAACCACCCATCTGTTGCTTGAATCACCTCAACACTCTCCTTGCCAAGTGGTCATTGTTAAACTATTTTGTGATTTGTCTGAAGAAGGTTACAGAATCTTCTTCAGAGGTCTTAGCAAGAAAACAGAAAAAAAATTCTCTTGAGAGTTGGAAATCCCGCCATTGTAACCTATTGATCTGTTTGGTTTCTGATTCTGTCATACAACATGTTTATTTTTCAATTTCTTATCATCTACAAATTTAATATGCCTGCCTTCTGTGTGTCATCCATGTTTCTGAAAAAAATATCAGGGCTAGGAATAGAACCCTGTGACATGACAAAGAGAAACTCTGCCCCCCAACCCCCCAGGTTCATGTCTTCATGAATCACCACCCTTTGGTGTAGTTCAGCCAATTACTAAGCCACCCAACTATACTTTGTTTCAATCCAGATTTCTCCCTTTTGATCTTAAGAACCAGGTATAGCTATGGGTCTTCAATTTATAATAACTCTATTAGAGTAAATTAAGCTAGCAAATCTGATTTATTTATTCCTGGTGAATTTAAGCTGGCCTCTAGTGGTTACTACATTCTTTTTAAAGTGCTTGGAGACTATCCTGTTAATAATCCATTAGAAAGTCTTTCCAAATCATTGTTCTGTAGTTTGGGAAGTCTGCCTTCTTCCCTTTTTAGAAGATTTGTACTGCATTTGTCATCTCATCTTCTAGTACTTCTCCATTCTTTGTGATTCCTCAACTATCCATAGAGCTATTCCATGGCCTACCAAGATCAGTTGGCTTCTTGTGATTTGCCCATCCCAGTATAGTAACTCATTTAGAATGAATCAGTTATTTGCTATCTTACATCTTTTTACCCATTTCAGAGTTTAATTTCTTCTCCCCTTTTCAATCTGACAATCAGTCTCCTTGATAGAGAAGCCAGGAACAAAATGGGAGTAAGAGAGGAGCTTTGCTTTCTCTTTATTATCTACTGCTATTAACAAAAAACTTTCCTTGTTTTGGTGTTGTTGCTGTGTTGTTTGTCCATTTGGCTTATTTGTTTACGTTTTGGAGAACTGGAGTCAGATATAGGGTCCTAAATATTATTTAAAAACAGGGAATAGATGGTTGTCTTTAGTATTTTTGTTTTGTTTTGTCTTTATTTATTTATTTTTTGCAAGTCTCAGCTAATTTGAAGTTTTAGCTCTCCTGACATTATTCTTATAAATTCATTCCACTCTCTTATAGTCCCTCATTACATACTCTCTTTCCATCTTTTTTTTTTTTTTTTTTAAACATGTCGTTTAAAAATCTGACCAGGGAAAGATCTCTGTGAGGCCACAGTAGTTACTTAAGTGCTGCCCATCTTTTCCTCCTGGGAGGATCATTTGTGGTTGTTGTTACTATTGGACATTTGAAAGCTGTTCAACCCTCTTCCACCGTTTTTCCTTCTCAGTCTCATACCATTGAATCATACCTCTTTTCTTTGAATTTTTTGAAGTCCACCTTCCCCTCTTTGATTATCCAGAATGACATCGTAAGTCTTTCTGAATGTTCCTATCAGTTCTCATTTCACCAACTATTTTTTTCTTCTTGGTCAGAATTAGGTCCAGAGTTGAAGTTCCCCTAATTGCTTCCTCTACCATCTGGGAGATAAAATTGTTACCAAAGTAAGTCAAGAACCTGTTGGGTGCCCTCATTCTAACCAATGAGACTTGTAGTGGCTATCTGGATGGTTGACACCCCATCACCACACTTCTTGCTTCTGTATGTGTATTGTGTTGTGACAAGGATGCATCATCTCTATCTTCCATTGAGCTGAGCAGTCTGTTCCGTATTCCCCAACCATTAGCACTTCTATTGCTCTCTCGTTTTTCCTTCACTCACAAGCTCTTAGCATGTTTCTACCCCAACCTCATGAGTTTCCACCTAGATGTATGTTTCTTGGCTAGTAGTGCTACTCTGCCTCTCCTCATAGGAATACTATTTGAAATATGAATAAGCAAAGCAAGCAAGCTAGCCACAACCATCCTTGAATTCCCAGCCCACCAACTGCTGTCTTACAGCTAAGTCCTCTGATGTTGTATCTACCACTCAATATTATAATCTCAATTCTCACCTCATTACCCTTGAACCATATTTGTACATTGGCATCTGAAGCCTTAATAATGTCTTCTGATGCCTGCCTATCCCAGTTATTTTCTCCAGTGAATCACTGGACAGTTTCTGCGTCATTATTGTTCTTTCCAAGTCATATATGCTGCCCTCCTAAGTAACTGGTTTTACAGCTTTTTTTGGGTGGGCCTTTTCCTCCCTACTTCACCACATTCTGTTTAAAGTCCTGTTGATGGTTCCTGCCTGCAATTAGAGGGAATGGCTAAAGAACTTACCTGACCCCTCCTCAAGGCAAAGATTGACTGGTAACTCCAAACCTCCCATCAGTCATTCAGTTCAGCCTCCGTTTCCTCTCTGGCTATCGTAGTTTGTGGATAGTAAAAATGACATTTGGTTTTACTTTCTGTATACTTTATCTCTTGTGGTCTGATGGAGATAAGCAGGGAAATGGCCACAGAGAGACAATGGAGAAGGAAAATGAAGGGGATGGGTGCAGATGAGGAACTGTGCAGGCTGTGTGGCCTCACCATTTCCCTATCACTTTCCTGTCTTTGCAGTGGGTTGTTCCTTATATGATTTGGAAGGTTTACATTTCCAAGAGTTCCCCAGGTTCATTAACTTCTTATCCTTTCTGACTTCCTGTCTTAGAGGGTTGTTGAAAGGATTATAGGGGATGATATGTGTGAAGTGCCTGGTACAGTGCTTAATGTAGCCTAAGCAACAAAAGGCAGCTGGTTGAAGGCATGACATTTACCTTTGCTTCTCTGGATGAAGCAGATTTTGAGCTCCTCAGCAATGGCACTGCTTGGAGGTCCTTCCAGTGTTCTGTGAAGCAGGAAATCAGTGCTAACTGTTAGGAGATGCAGAAGCACTATTTTCTACAGCAACTAACTTGATTTAATGGATTTCTTACTGCGAAGAACTCCTTCTATTTAAGAGAATCTGTGCTGTGTACACAAAAGTAAACTTATGCATAGTTCCTCGAGCTTTGAGCATCGGAAGGAGACATCTACTTAACTGCCCTGCTGTTGTCACGGTCATTAGCTGACATTTGTTGAGTGCACTGAACTGCTGGGCACTGTACTGAGCACTTTTCATACATCACCTTACTGAACCTTCACAACATGTTGTGAGCAAATAGATTCCATGTTGTTCTCCATCAGGGAGGCAGAGTAATAACTAATAAGGGGTGGAGCCCAACTGTTAAGTCCCATGTTCCTAATACGACACATTTGACCTCTCAAGCTAAAATACAGATGTTTCTTTTGTACCATTATTTTGTGTCAGCAACTATAAAGAGGGGTGCATGAACCAGTTGGCTCCTCTGCATGTTTTGGCATAACTCCCTGCCCTTCTGCATGAACTCCTATGGTCCATTACTACACACTTGGATTTGTAATTGATGGTGGCTATTATCTGAATGAACAGGTGTGCAACTGCTTATATTCTTTTGGCTGAAGAGGAAGCAACAACCATTGCTGAAGCAGAAAAACTGTTTAAGCAGGCCCTGAAGGCTGGAGACGGCTGTTACCGGCGTTCTCAACAGCTACAGCATCATGGATCTCAGTACGAAGCCCAACATAGTAAGGTTTCCTCCAGATGATGCGCTGCAGGATCTGAATTGTAAAATGATTAATCAGAGCACATTTCCAGTCCAGTTCAAAATATGATGCTCCTAGAAGGGAACTGTTACTGGCTTTTGCTTTTCTTTGTCTTTATTCATTTTTTTCCTGCCTAAAAGAGTACTTCATTAGTAACAATTAACTTAGAGCTTCATTACTGTTTACCTTCACATTCCTTTTCTTGCCCATAGATTCCTAAACAAAGAAGTCAAACAGCAGTTGCCTTTTAATGGTGATCTTTCTTCTATGCAGAATTCTTACATTTTTCTGTTCCTCAGATGCATCTCTGTCCTATAACTTTAAATCCGAGTTAGGAAACAGGACTTATATTAATCACAGAGTTATTAAAGGATTTATCTTATAGGTCTTCTACAGCATAGGTTGAAAATAGGACAATTAAGAATGTAACAGTTATTGGTGATTGTATCAGTATGTAGTTCTTATCTAAGGAATATTGATACTGGCTTCCAGAAAAAAAGAGCCATGAGTTCCTCTTTTGTTGTCTCTTTATATTAAAATTAGTACCTTTTATTTATAGTAACTGTTTAAAGATCTGAGATCTTTCACTTCAGGACACTAAACTGTTAGTTATGTTTGGGACAATAGTATAGAAACAAGACAATAAAATCATTTCTGAAATTCCGTAAGCCATTTGACTCATCATTTTGTGAGGGTATTTTCATGAAACAACCAACATTTGGTGTTTGTTTTAAAAGAAAAAAAAAATTGCCTTATTTATTTGAAAAGTGGGGTGGGGAGAAAGATGCAGGGAGAAAGAGAGAGAGAGAGATCAGAGATCGTCTATCCACTAGTTCATTCCTCAAATACCCGAACAGCCAGGGCTGAACCAGGAGCCCAGAATTCCATTGGGTTTCCCCTGTGGGTGGTAGGGGTCCAAGCACTTGGGCCATCTTCTGTTGCTTTCCTAGGCACATTAACAGGGAACTGGAAAGTAAGCAGAGTAGCCATGACTTGAATTGGTGCTTCAATGTGGGATGATGGTGTCACAGTGCTGCGCCACAACCCAAACCTGGTTGTTTCTTTTTAAGATAGAATTTCTCTCTTCCTGATTCTGTCCTGCAACTTGGAGTGTATGAATGTATATTTCCTTCATATTTGAGATTATAAAATCAAATTTTAATGTTAAACTTGGATTTTGTATAGAAACCACAGTAGTCCATATGACTAAGTTGCTAGCAAGATCTTTGCATTTCCACCTGCATGCTCATGTTTATGTCCACAACACTCATCAACACTCAGATTTTTATATTTATTCTGCAGTGAGTGCATATGTTAAGTTAATCTCTAATCACTCTCAATATCTTACCTTTAAAAAGAAAGTATAATGCAATGTGTTTTGAAGACATGTATTAAATGTCTATTTTATGAACTAATGGAAATTAATATGTAAAAGTCATAGCCTACAATACAACTTAAGAATTTTTCTCTTCTCTAAATTAAATCTTTTCAACCTGTTGCCTAAATCTATCCAAAAATATAATCACATCTTTAAAATAATTTGTAGGTACTTGGCAAATTTTCAGCACACATCTTGTTCTCATTGTTTAAAATTTGAAATGTTAGGAGTTTGGTCTTAACATCTTTTAATAGCTGCATATTATACATGTACTTAATCTAAAACAGGTGTGTCATACTTTTCACAAACATGGTAATTTTATTGAGGATTAAGCATGTGCATGTTCTTACTGGTCTGAGAACATATCCAAAAAGACATATAATTAAGGATTAAGATAAGAAGTTGTTAATGTACTTTTAAAAGACAATTCTAGTGACTATTGTTAAAACTATTTAGCTTGTCAGTGCTTTCTCTAACACTAGAATAGCTTTTTCATTTTGTTGCATACTCTGTTGTCATATCTGGAATGTGTTATATCGCCATCTAAAATCCACTGCTTTGGGGACCTGGAGATGATTATGATGTCACTAGTGTTAGAGAAAGAATAATATAAAACAGAAGTTCAAGATGAGGCTTCTCCAGACTTGATGTCAAGAATGAAAAAGAATAGTTCATTGGGATGCAACCTGAGATTCACCTCTGCATCTTTACCAAAAGCATGCACATTTGAAGAATGTGAAATTCTTGCTTATAAACCAAATGCAACGTGGATATGTTCATTTTCCCAGATCTTTGTGGCAGATGATTTTATTTGTTATAAAATATTCAATACCCAAACTCAAAAGCATGAATTAGTCACATGATTTGACCTTTGCAAGTCTAAGCACTTTTACTATATTCTGTATTCATTCTATTAACCGTGTTGTCAGTGCTTCTGGCAATAAGGAAAAGCCAAAGAGCATTCTGTTCTTGCTAAGGTTTCCCTTTAAGGGTGAGGCAAATGGCCTCTGCATTTTTTTTCTTGCTACTCTACTGAAAGCTCTCTCTCTCTCTTTAAATAAATTTTGATGTTTTATATCTCCCTCTTCAGGACGAGACACCAATGTCTTGGTCTACATCAAAAGAAGGCTAGCAATGTGTGCCAGAAGACTCGGGAGGACCAGGGAAGCAGTGAAAATGATGAGAGATGTGAGTTTGCATTTGTGTTTGGGAATGGTGGACGTGCACCTGGCTTTAGGCTGTCGTAGCCCACTGAGTGGCTGCAGCAAACGGTAGCAGTGATAGCTTGGTTGTCTTACAGACTCTAGAGCCAGACCATCTGTGGTTCAGCTCTATATCTCAACTGACTAGATGAACCGTCTTGGGAAAGTTAGAAAAATTCTCTGTGCTCTAGTTTTCTCATCTGCAGTTTGGAGATAACAGTAGCAATCCTCACAATTACTTTTTAGGATTGTTGTGAGGGTTAAATGAGGTAATACATGCAAAGCTTTTAATAGTCTGGGGATTGATTGTTGTGGCATAACAGGGTAAGCCACCACTTGTGACATCAGCATCCCATATAAAAGTAATGGTTTGAGTTCTGGTTGCTCCACTTCTGATCCAGCTCCCTGCCAATGTGCCCAGTAAGGCAGCAGAAGATGGATCAAATAGTGAGGCTCCTGGCCACTAATATGGGGAAACTTGGATGGATTCCTGGCTACTGGCTTCAGCCTGGTCCATCCCAGTAGTTGCAGTCATTTGGGGAATGGACCAGCAGATGGAAGATCTACCTGTTCCCCCCATCCCCTCTTATATGCTCTTTCAAATAAATAATCCTTAAAAAATAGACTGGTGTATTAAAAAAAAAACCTCAAGATGTGTTATTATTAAAATTTGACAATGTAGCTTAAGCCAATGAGATAAGCCATTTTAGCTGCCTTTTTCTCTATGTAGTTTTTAGGAAGATTTGATAGGTTATAAGTCAAATTGCTGTTCTCAAATTTAGTAAAATTATGAACTAATCCTATTACAGTTAAAATATTTTCCTATATTCTTGAACCAGGGTATTTTATTACTAGTAGTCAATTTGTAAGAATTAAGAAGAGAGGATATAGATGAGAGTTTGAAAGCAAAAGAGAACCAATAGAAGTTATTATTATATAACTTTATTTTGTTTTCAACTTTTATAAATATAAATTTTGAAAGTACAACTTTTGAATTATAGTGACTTTCCCCCCATAACCTCCCTCCCACCCACAACTATCCCATCTCCCACTCCCTCTCCCATCCCATTCTTCATCAAGATTCATTTTCAATTATCTTTATATGCAGAAAATCAAGTATATATAAGTATATATATAGTACTACGTATACTATATACATATATAGTATTAGTATATATAAGCAAAGATTTCAATAGTTTGCACCCACACAGATACACAAAGTATAAAGTACTGTTTGAGTACTAGTTTTACCATTAATTCACTTAGTACAACACATTAAGGACAGAGATCCTACATGGGGAGTAGGTGCACAGTGACTCCCATTGTTGATTTAACAATTGACACTCTTATTTATGACGTCAGTAATCACCTGAGGCTCTTGTCATGAGCTGCCAAGGCTATGGAAGCCTCTTGAGTTCACCAACTCCGATCATATTTAGACAAGGCCATAATCAAAGTGGAAGTTCTCTCCTCCTTTTAGAGAAAGGTACTTCCTTCTTTGATGGCCCATTCTTTCCACTGGGATCTCACTCACAGAGATCTATCATTTAGGTCATTTGTTTTGGCCACAGTGTATTGGCTTTCCATGCCTACAAAACTCTCATGGGCTTTTTAGCCAGATTCGAATGCCTTAAGGGCTGATTCTGAGGCCAGAGTGCTGCTTAGGGCATTTGCCATTCTATGATTCTGCTGTGTATCCTGCTTACCATGCTGGATCATTCTCTCCTTTTTAATTCTATCAAATATTATTTGCAGACACTGGTCTTATTTATGTAATCCCTTTGACATTTAATCCTATCATTATGATCAATTATGAACTTGAAACTGATCACTTTAACAAGTAAGATGGCATAGGTACATGTTATCTTGAAGGGATTGAATTGGATTCCCCTGGCATATTTCTAGCTCTACCATTAGGGGTAAGTCTGAGTGAGCATATGCTAAACTGTACATCTCTTCCCTCTCTTATTCCTACTCTTATATTTAACAGGGATCACTTTTCAGTTAATTTTAAACATCTAAGAATATTTTAATTAACTGGTTTCCCTAAAAAATATTGTTTTAAAGTTATTTAATAACACATGAAAAATGTTCAGGATCACTAGTCATCAGGGAAAACACATAAGAATGTGTGTTAATTAAAGAGGTCAATCGATGTTATTAAGTAGAACAAAAAAAAAAAATACTAAAAGGAATAAAATAGTAAGTTGTTCCTTGACAGGACAAGGGCTGATCAAGACACTATTTCTCATGGTGTCCATTTCACTTCAACAGGTTTCCTTTTTGGTGCTCAGTTAGTTGTCACAGATCAGGGAGAACATAGGATATTTGTCCCTTTGGGACTGGCTTATTTCACTCAGCATGATGTTTTCCAGATTCCTCCATTTTGTTGCAAATGTCTGGATTTCATTGTTTTTACTGCTGTATAGTATTCTATAAAGTACATATCCCATGATTTCTTTATCCAGTCTTCTGTTGATGCGCATCTAGGTTGATTCCATGTCTTGGCTATTGTGAATTGAGCTGCAATAAACATTGATGTGCAGACAGCTCTTTTATTTGCCAATTTAATTTCCTTTGGGTAAATTCCAAGGAGTGGGATGGCTGGGTCATGTGGTAGGGTTATATTCAGGTTTCTGAGCAATCTCCAAACTGTCTTCCATAATGGCTTTACCAGTTTGCATTCCCACCAACAGTGGATTAGTGTCTTTTTTCCCCCACATCCTCGCCATCATCTGTTGTTAGTTGATTTCTGTATGAGAGCCATTCTAACTGGGGTGAGGTGAAACCTCATTGTGGTTTTGATTTGCATTTCCCTGATGGCTAGTGATCCTGAACATTTTTTAATGTGTTATTATGTAACTTTAAAACAATGTTTTTCAGGGAAACCAGTTAAGCAAGGACCTTTCACTTTCATGTTTTTGTTGTTGTTGCTAGTAAGAAATGCTTTTCATAAACTGACAGCAGTGTAAATTATATTTATAAGGAATTTTCTATTTTAAAACAATCTCAGAAAACCTTTGCTAATATTTCATTCTACTCCTGTATTCTTGCATATATAAGTAGCTGTCCCTTATAGAAGTGGAAAAATCAAGGGACAAGATAGAAGTGGCATCTTGCCCAATTCTTACCTCATGGGTTTGAGTACAGGCTATGCAAACCTAGTGAGCCTTTTTGTACTTTCTTTTTGTAGTTTCTTATAGAAATTCGATGCCTTGATATGGCAAAGAAACCACCGATCACTTTGGCTTTGAGGGAGCTGGGGATTTTATGAAAGATAGGGTATTTCTCTTAAGCTGATCCAGCCACATTCATCCTTTAAATAGGATTTATTATATGTATTGCCTCTTCTTAACCTTTACTAAGGAACAAGTATGCCTGAGGAGCATGTTTTGGTGATTTTACTTATTACATGCTTAAACAACTTCATAGGAAAAACAAATGGTGATTTGAATTCTAGCTTTTCTGTCTCATTTTACTTAACATTTTCTATATGTATACCTATAATTTCACATGATTAAACTTATCTACCATATATCTACTATGATTTTCTTTTTGTTTAACATAAGTTCTTGTTTATAAAATGTTTATTGACCTAGTCCAGATATAGATCTTGGGGAGAAAGGCTGGGATGCAGGGGAAGAAACAGTGGGCAGGGAGTTAAACAACCTGGATGTGAGAGTCTCAGCTTTGCCCTTTACTAGCTTTGAGATCCATGGCAACCTACCTTTTATGGGTAGGTTCATTTAGTCTTCTGTAAGTTGGGAATAATGTTTCTTACATAAAATGGTAACAGATGGGGAAAATTATATACGACAGTGTGAAACACCTGACATATAGTAGGCACAGCTACAATTTTCCCCTACTTTTTCTCTATTATGTAAGCTATTAAGTAATTTGCTTGACTGTCCTCCTGATGGATATTTTGAGATATTCTTGATTTATTTTTTTGAATGAATTCATCACTCAATCAAGTAATCTATCCTATATATATATACACACACATATGTGTATTGATACACATGTATAAGCATTTACACATGTTTGTTTCTGTATAGATATGTTTCTGTATAGATATTACCTTTCCCAGAATACCAATACTTGTTGCCTTTTCTCAGTTTATGATGCATTCAATAGATGTGTACCCTCCTGCTGTAACAGGCCTGTGAGGGACACTGTCACACTTGGTGGAGATGGGTTTTCGAGAGAAATATTCAAAGTACTCCTCCTTTCAGGAGCTCCTTTTATCCATCCTAGCCCCGAGCCCGCGGAAGGGAGGTTGAGGACCTCCCGCTTTAGTAAAGCAGCAGCTGCTCTGAGCCTCGTGGGAGAGAGCTGATGGTCAGCCCTGTGTGTGTGACTCTTCTCAGGTCATGGGTCAGGCTTCATGGAGGCATTCACTCCTTGAACAACATGCACACAGACGGTCTTGCTGTAAAACTTCCTTTGATAACACAGCATAGTGGATTCCAGGAAGGCCTGCTGATAAAGCACTTAGGCCAGAAGATCTAATTTTTCATTAAGACATGGCCATCCTCTCCCCATATGCACGGGTTCTAAATTTCCTAGAGCAGATTTTAAATTAGAAATAGAAATGCCAGAGTTAGATTACCTTCCTTGTAGGAAGCAGTCATTTTTAAAAACTTTCTCTGGAAATGCCTGAAGAAAAGGAAAGCTGTTAATTGGTAAGATATCCTGAAAGAGGGTGAAAGGGAAGTCTGGCAAGCCAGGATGCAGATAATTTCTTTATTTCCATGGCTCAGGACTGTATCATGGATCAAAACAATGTTGACACTGTCTGTGAATTATTGATGAGGTAAACAAGCATCAGTTCCTTAATGTGCAGATTCATAGCTTCTCATTTTTTAAAGCAACACATTTATCTTGAATTCCCAGAATGTTTTTTCCAAACTCACTTTAATTAGTTTCCTTTTGCTGAAACATGAAATCACCTTACTGCTAAATAAATCTAAAGAAGTATTTTGA